CTTCAGTCGGTAGATGGCTGAGTTTGGGATGCGAGGGCCCGTGTGTAAGAATTGGAGGTCTTGGAAAACGTTTTCCCCGATCAGTGTTCAAGGTTTTCATCTTGTGCTTGAGCCTGTTTTTGTTTTTGGATTCTCTTGGTGATGGTCGTCGTGAAGTTTCTACCTCTGCGCTTTGTAACTTTCTCAGCCGTTTGGAGTCTGGTGGGGTTCTTGGTTGTTCATACTCCGCTTTGTAGCAGTGTGGTTCTTCTGGAGCTCTTGTTCTTCAGCTCTTTTCTGACGTTCCCATCTTAGTAGTCTTTTGGAGGGGTTGCTTGTTGGTGTTATGCAGATGGTATGTTTGAGTACTATGGAATTGGAGACCCTCTAGTGATTAGCCTCTCTTTTATCTAAAGTTGGTATGATTGTTGTTAAATTTGCTGGGTGTAGTTTCCCTTTGGTTCCCGTAAATCTTTCGGGCGTTGTGTGGCACTATGTTTATAAGACTTATTTCATAAGTTAATCAAATTTCAGTTGTGAAAAAAAAGTCATCTCTGTTTCTCACTATACAATTCACATTCTGTTTAGTTTCAGTTCTCTCTTCTGGCAATATTTTTGTGAAACTGATGAAGTGGTTACACATATCACACAGTCAGAGCCGGCTCAATTATATTAGGGGCCCTTGGTCAAAAAATAGTTTCAAACCCCATAATTATTAATTTTAAAATATAAATATATATATATGTATAAAAATATTAAAAATAATTAAGTAATTTATTTTTATTTAAGTTTTAAATTAAGTGCTTTATAATATCACATATCTCAGATCTTATTTAAATTTAAACTATGTTAATAAAACAAACAAAAAGTTAAAAAAATAAAATAAAAGTTGGTGTGGGCCAGTGCGACCACCCTATGCTAAGCCGGCTTTGCACAGAGTTTAGCCTTTCACTTAACCTTCTGAATTCATGATGTGAATGAAGTTAATTCATTGAGAGACAGTAACAAAACTGAACTAGAGAGGCATAAAAATACCCCCAACAAACAACAATTTAATATCTTCAAACATGTAGGAACATTGGAAAGACTTAAAAATCAGAAACACCAAATGCTTACAGCTAAAAGTGTATAATAAACACATAGGTTCTGGCTACAAAGGTGGAAGCATCCTTGGTGCCAAAACAGAAGTATATAATAAACACAAAGGTTCTGGCCAGAACCATGTCATATGTCACACCAAGGCTCCAGTAGGTGGTTTCATCGTTCTCATCCAATCTGTCTTCTTCGTTACTCTCTCTCCCTTTGTTACTCTCTCTCTCTCTCTTTATTTTCCTTGTCGTTGAATCATGAGAAAGATAGACGAACTAAACAATATTCTTGATTTTCCTCCAAATCGATTTCTTTTTAATTGAGTTGGGTCGGGTTTTGTTTAATGAAGAATCACTGTTTGCAAAACGCAATTTACAAAAGTTTCAAACTTCATAATCACTAAAGTGTAGGGCTCGGCATTTTATCCGTTAAATTTGATTCGATTCGTTATTCATTTCGTTTCCATCCGAAAATTCCGGATATCCGTAAACTTTCGAATCAAAGCAAATACTAAAAATCAGTTTCCGTTAAAATCGAAGCAAATCACAAATATTAAAACTTTGGGAAACGGATATCCGATCCGATCCGAAAATATATAAATATATGTATATATTGATTATATTTAAAATTTTAAATGTATAAAATTATATAATTATTATTCTAACACATGATTTTGAAAAATTCTATTCACATTATTACTTATATAAATGTATTACATAAAAAAGAAAAAAAATATGACAATATATTTTTTGTTCTTAACTTTTGGGTTGTTATAATTGCGACTTAAACTTCAAAATTACAAAATATGTAAATTTACTAGTTCTTTTTATTTTATATTATATATCATGCAAAAAAATATTTTTCAAAGAAAATTTATATCAAAATAATAAGATTATTTGTATTAATCAAATGGATTACATATCCGTAAATATTCGTAAATATCCGCAAATATTTATTTATTTTTCGGATATCCATTTTTCTGGATATCCGTATTTTTCCGAAGCAAAGCATATTCCAAAATTAGATATCCGTAACATTCGAAGCATATCACAAGTACCTTGAATAATCCGGATATCCGATCTGCATCCACCCTTACTAAAGACATCTCCAATGAAGGTATGTAAAAAATATCTCATATTCAAAATAAATACAAAAAAATAGAAAATTAGAAAAGAGCGTGTAGTTAGAACAAGCGCACTGGTCGTATCTTGCAACAATTCTCTAACAAAAGTAATATTAAAATATTGTAAAAGGAAGAAAAAGAGTCATAAAAATTGGAGACGTATGTCTAGGAAGAGACTTTGAAATTAGTTACAGAGACTTGTATTATATGTGTTTTTGTGTTTTCATTTTTAAATTTTAATTATATAACTAGACCTTGGCCCGTGCGACCGCACGGATATTAATTTTATTTTTTAATTTTTATATTAAATGAATTTTTTGTAAAATTTAATTGTATTACATTAAGTTTTTTTGTGTGTGTTAACAGTTTATTGTATCAAAAATATTGGGTATCATACAAACAAATCTAACATGTAGACGATATATTGAAAATATTTTTCAGTTAAAGATACCTCAAATCTTGAGAAGTAAGAGTTAATATGGTATACAAAAAATGATAAATTAGTTATAAGATTTCTAAGAAAAAGCCTGATGTTCAAATTATATAAAAATTTTAATATATAAAACATTTGGATTGAAATTTGTAAAATAAAAAATGAAGTATCAATTAAATGATTACAAATTACTTATGGGTTTAATTTTGACAAAAGAATACCAAAAAATTTGTTGTTTCATCCGCGCAAGTGTTTGTTTTTATATATTTTATAAGTGATAATATATATTTCTAAATTTACTATTGACATTTTAAACACACAATTTTATAGTTTCTATTGAGTAATTTTATTTTATCTTATAAACTACCATTGTGTCATACTTATATTACAAATATGACCCGTATATCTGCACAAATATTTTATTTTTATTTTTATAGATCAAAATTTTATGATAATGTATAACTAAATTGTTTTATCTAATATTTAAAATAAATGGTCTTATATATTTCTACTTTTTTAACTTTTATTATTCTGAATTTACCTTGAATTATTATTTATATAAAATTATACATAACATAATATGTTTACATTAATCTATGTATTATATATTATAAAAATGTTTCTTTTTGTGACTTATATTTTAGTTATTACTTATAAATAATAAAAATATAATTATATATCTTTGAAAACAATATTGTTCATTAACTATTTAAAGATATGTAGATAATTAATAAGAAAAAAATCCTAAAAGGTAGGTGAATTAATATTGGAATTAATTATTATGTATATGGAATTAATAAAAAAATTTCTATATAATTTATTTATTTAATTACGAAAGGTATAGATGAAAATAATTATTTTCATTAATTATTGTTGCCATAATTTGTTTTAGTTAAAATTTGATTTTGGAAATGCATTAATTAAAGTGAAAAGACAAAGAATCCTATAAGGTAGGGTAATTAATAATTTCAATGGCATAATATTGTAAATAATTAGAAAAACTCAGTGGTATTTCAATAGGGTACTTCTATTTTAATAATAGAGATAGATGTATAATAAAATTAAATAGTTAAAGTATTCTCTCGGTCAATGATGTTCTTAGAGCATCTCCAACCATCCACTTTATTTTAAAAAAAGAACCTACATAAAATAAAGGGATAAAGAGTTACTTTTCCAACGGTACTCTTAAAACATTTATTTACATATTACATTTTAGTCCTTAATATTTTTAATAATTAACTATAATCACTAAACTTTTATAAAGAAACAAGAAACATACATTTTAAATAAATAATAACAAATATATGCTTTAAAATAAACAATAAATAAGATTAAAAAAATTCTCATAGTTGGCCTACACCATTCCATAAATTTTATATCCAAACAACCATTAAACTGAATAAATGTAATATTATTGTTTTCTGAAATAATATGTATATGTTATATTTTTCTTAATTTGTGTGCATAATAATTCTAATTATTTTATTAATATGGGAAATTAAGTTTATAAAATCAAATATTATAATAGTTAGATGCTAATATAATAAAAATAAAAGAAAAAGAGTGTTGGGTACATAATTATTAAACTTATATAAATAGAAGGACTAAAGGTGAAAAGTGAATACTGTTTAAAAGGATCAACAGTGACCCTTTATATTTATTTGAAGTGTCACTATTCACTCCTTTAAAAAATAAAAGGATAAAGAGTAGTTGGAATGCAAAACCCTTTAAAAAATAAATGGATAAAGGGTGGGTCGGAGATGCTAAGTTCTCAAAAGAGGACTTAGAGCATGTGCAATGGGGAAAACATAACAAATCCTTAGTACAATTTTCTAAAAAAAAATATTAAAATATTGTTTGGTTTGGTTTTTGTGCCAAAATTAGTACGAAAAATCCTTGTATAAGGATTGATTTTGCTGGGTAACATTACTGTATTGTGGGCCCCACGACCAAGGCGGTCCACGATTAGTAATTTTTTTTTTAATTAGACGAAAAAAAATTAATAAAATAATAAACTAAAAGTTGGAAATCGAGCCAATGTAAGTACACGGTTGCACCTGCTCTTATGAGAACCTCAAATGAACCTCTAATGCCACATATGATATCCACTTATTGATGATTTATTTTCTTTGAGAAATTTAAATTTAATGATCTAAACTAATTATATTAAAGTAGTAATATAGTTTTGCTGAGATGCTTGTTTTGAGATGGTAAAGCATTCAAATCACTTCAGCAATATTCTACGTTCTTTTTCAGTTTGGTCTGAGATTAGCTTAAGAGTGTCTGTAATTAGTCATTGTCACTAATCTAAATTGTAGAGTCTTCCTTACAGTCTTTTTAGTTTTTACAACAAAAATAAAACAAAGATACAGTATGATCAAGGGTCTACCAAATGATACATACAAAATTTAATACATATCTCTGCAAAGTTTTAGTCTTTACATGCAAACTTATACATATTCTCATAGATCTTTTTTTTTAGCAACTCAAATTCTCAATAGATCATAACTTAAAAGCAACAACAGAAAAATCACACGATCTTGGTAATATCTTTCAAGAAAGAGTCAATATTAACATCAGAAGAACCAGTCTTTGAAACCGATCCATGACAAATCTCACTAAGATCACAAACCCTTCTTCTCATCTCTTTCCCTTCTTCACTCTCTCCATCCATAAACCTCTTCACCAATTCCTTTATCTCCTCTCTCTTTACAAACTCCGTCTTCTTATTACTCTTGACACTCATCCCCACCCTCCAATCCTCAACAATCATCTTAGCATTCAAAAACTGATCCCAAAACAACGGAAACGTCAGCATCGGCACTCCAGAGTATATCCCTTCCAACGTCGAGTTAAACCCACAATGTGTCCAAAACCCACCTACAGCTGCATGACACAACACACGCAGCTGATCACACCAGCTCACGACAACACCCGCGCTACCTTCAAGAGCCTTCTTCATCTTTAACTCTCCTCCACGCGCCACCCAAAGAAACGGGACTCCACTCTCTCTAACTCCTCCCACTATCTCCTCCATCTCAGCTTCCGAGACCGAAAGAAAACTCCCTTGGGATATATAAAGAACAGAGCTTTCGGGTTGCCCATCAAGCCATTTAATGTATTCAGGTTCGCTGACGTCAGAGAGTTCGTCGAATGGTATCAACGGACCGGTGGTGTAAACCGGGAAGTCAAACTTGGAAGTGAAAAAGTCAACCGCTTTTGGTTCCAGCTCGTAAGCAGAAGGGAAGAGAAGATACTTAGCTTTGGAGAGCTCATCGAAACACGGCTTGAACTTATTGAACACTTCGTGGCTGAAGCCGTGGTAGATCTCCGGCAAGTCACGGAGTCGTGTCGGAGATAAACCGGGAATGTAATCAACAACTTCGTCTTCTTTCGACTCTACAAACAAAACCCAGTTTCAAGAATCAAGAATATCGTTAATACATTAAGAAAGTTTTGAACTTTTTTTTAAGCAAAAACAAAAAAAAGTTTTGAACTTTATTTTAAGCAAAAAAAATATTAAAACTTTATTTAAAGCAAAAAAAGAAGTTTGGAACTTTACCTGACGGTTCGGTCGGAAAATGGCCGTGAGCTGCGAGAAGATCGGAGTGAACGAAGAGGGAGAGAATCGTGGCTGACTCAGTCCAGAAAGAAGCTACCGGAATATTTCTCCGTGTGCCGACACGAACTGCCCACACCACGAACGTGTCGGAGATGATTACTGTGGGAGGCGGAGAGCTGAGGCTGTCGAGTAACATCTCGAACGGCTTCTCTAGTTTGGTGTAGATGGCGTCGATGAAGCCCGTGAAGTCGTTGGCGCGGACGAGCTCCGAGGGGATGAGGTTTGGGAGAGTGGCGAAGCTGATCCGGTCGGGTTTCGGGTCTGATCCGATGAAGCCGAGCCATTCTTCCGTGAGGACAAAGGTGACGATGAGGTTAGGGTCACGGAGGAGGAGGCGTTTGCAGAAGTTCGTCATGGGGTTGATGTGGCCTCTTCCGGGCCAAGGCATTGCCACCACGTGGCAGGTTCTGAATGGTTGTTGTTTGATAAGATCCATAGGGCGGGAAATGTGTTAGGAGAATGATTCGTGAGCTAATCTATAAGTTTTAAAACAATGCCTTGATCAAATGGGTGGTTACTGGTGAGTACAGTGCAGGAAGAATAATTCGTGAGCCAATGGCTAAGATTTAAAACAAGGCTTTGATAAAATCGTAAAATGATTGGGCCAAAATCTAAAAGTATTATTTCAAATTGTTTTGACCATAATTCATAAGTAGGTGTAGCTAAATCATTTGTTGTTGTAAACGTTTTCAGAGTCTCAGCAAATTATACCAAAAAAAATATTTATCATGTGATTCCACGGGCATCGTGTTTGTGGTGTTCATTGGAAGTTTGGAAGTTTGCATATCCTTTACTTTTCGTGACAAAAAAAAAGAAGAAGCATATCCTTTACTCCAGAATATTTTTCTTATCTCTCTTGTTTTCTTTGCTTTATATTTTTGTTACTAAATTGTTTAATCATTTTAATAATTTTTTTACAAACAAATGATGATGTTACTAATTATTTTAATACCAGTAACTATTTTTAGCTATATCAACAGTTCAAAACAACATGATCTTCTAAAGCATGTTTCAAAACTACCATGAAAGATAACACAAATACCTAATTGAGAGAATTATGGTCATTCAATTACGCCTGATTTATCTCTTGATGGATCATGAAAATTCTAAACTAAACAAAACCCCAAAAAGAAAGAGACATTTTTCATCATTTGAACAGTTTTTAGCTTCATGTTTCACATAATCTCTAAGAGTTGTGGCTTTGCTTCATTGTTTTCTTCAAATAATTAACAAGTCTCACATTTTCTTCAAAACTATCTAATATAAACAGAGAGAACATCCCTCCAAAACAAAAAGAAAGCACCAAAACAATATTGGATTTTTTTTAATCTTCCAAAAGCTTTTATGACTTACTCCCAAAGCATTATATGCATCTTCTCATAGATTGAGAATTTTGGAATAAGTGTAGCTTGTGATATTCTTGATTAATATCACTAGTATATTGTTCTAAGATCACTATAGTGTATGGTTAACATTTATTATTCTAAAATTAGTTATGTTGTTTATTTTCGACTTTCAACTTTTTTTTCTTATATGGATATCTCATTTTCTCTATAATAAACTTGCACAAACAACGAACATCTCCCTTGTATATCTTTCATGTAATCCCTTGTTTATGTTTCATGTAAGGCCGACCATTCTTCCTTGTCCTAGCTCTTCCGGTATTGTTTTGTATTATCCAGAAGTACCTCCCACGCTCATAAACTCCATATCCCATATGTTGATTGACAACAGAAGACAAAATGATCTTAATTACATAAAATGTGGACAAAATAAATTTATTAATTTCAAAATTATTACTATTTAAGAAATTCAATAATAACATATTGCGTAATTACGGTTTTCTTAACAAAACAATTAAGGGTAAACTTGACATAAAATCAAACTAGTAAGTAGACTAAACTTAAAGTTAAACTAACAACAAGTTGTTAATAGAGGTCAAACTAATTTCTCCAAAATAGAAATTTAATTTAAATCAACTAATTATAAAAACTGGATCACACTGGTTTTCATAAAGGTGAATATTTTGATATCTTATATTTTGATCACTAAAAATCTTAAGAACTTATTATATATATATATATATATATATATATATATATATGTGTGTGTGTGTGTGTGTGTATATATATATTTGTATCTGTATAATTTTTATAGAAACGTCTCATATCAATTGTTTCTAAAACACATATTCCTTATTTCCATGGTTTACAATACAAACTATTGACTAATACAATATGTTCATATACAAATATTTTTCAAATCCAAAACTTTGAAGTTTTTTGTAATGATATAAAGATTCATGTATATACAGTATATAAAAACATCTTTAGTTCTTAGTAAAAGATTTGCAATTTAAAATAATATAATTAATTATCTTATAAACATTTGTTAAATATCAAATTTTAACAAAACTGTTTATACAAATATTGATAAAATAATATAAAATCTAATTAACTACTAAAAACTAGTTTAATTGCATTTAAAATAAATAATATCCATGTTTAGTGCATGTCAAATTCTAGTTTTTATTCCTTTTTTTACAAAAATAAGTAATCAAATCTCAAAATTGAATGGATTATACAATTTATACTCATGAACAACCATGTTTACAAACCAAAATTGCTTGTTCAATAGTTTTAAGGATTTAAGATGAGCAAAAAAAAAGATAAAGAAACAAAAACTTATGCTTTGGGATTTTGACTGAACTTATCAGATTTCCAACAAAAAATTAATATTTTTGATATTAAATATATGAATTACTTATACTAAGAAAAAAATTAATCTATTTGTGGCTTTATTGTATTAACATTTCCCTTGGTTTATCCCGGCGTCTTGGTTTATGACTGTCCCTTGGTCTATTCCAGGGAGTTTCCGGTGTTCTTCCCTTCGAGATCCCATCCATGTAGCTTTCGTTCCTTGTTTTCTGATTACCTCCTTTAGAGCTTGTCGTCTTTTTCCACAGTCACTTTCTTTGTTTGAAGATGAAGAGACCTCTCCTTGGTTCTCAAGGAAGCAGTGACGAGTTCTCTAGTCTTTCCCGGTGGTCATGGAGAGTCGGAGTTTTTCTGTGGCTTCACGTGTTCGATCCTTTCATCCCAGCACCCTGAATTTACCACTTGGTTTCTTCGGTAGGGTGGCTCGTTTTTTTTTTTTGTAATTCTTGGAATCAGGATCTAGTGGTGTATCCGTCTTCTCAACCCACCTTTCTACACTTGGTTTATCAAAGAGGAAGACTTGATGAGACAAAACGACGGCGAAAGTCAGTCTTGCGATGTAAGAGTCGACTCACGGTTCCGCTCGAGTGATGTAGTGGTGAGGTGGTACTTCCGTGTTGGTGGAGTAGCTTTAGTCGGTTTAGTGCCGGTTTCAATTCTGGTTTGCTTTGTATCAATCATTTTCTATGAAATTTTTTTTGCAACTTTTATTTAATTAACTAAAGAAAAATCTTTGACAAAAACTGGTTTTAACATTGCCATATGATTGACTAGTTGATTTTGTGTTGATGAATGAAGAGTAAAATTTGCGAGCCGAAAATAAAAAGAGAATTGGTAAAAAAACAGATTTTAAAAAATAATTGTGATAAATCACAAAAATTTTCTTGATAAAAATGAAAATGATATTTCACCACCATTCATGCATCTCTACCAACACTCCAACATACACCCATCTTCAATTAAACACATAAGATCTCTAACAATTAATTGTAACAACATATGCCAAACAACAACGGCAAACTCATTGTGACTTAAGTTGTATTGTTAATCTCTCTTATGAAAGCGTCTATGTTAACATTAGACGACCCCTTTTCCGCAACCGCTTCTCTACACATCTCACTAAGATCACAAACCCTTCTTCTAATCTCCTTCCCTTCTTCACTCTCTTTATCCATTAACCTCTTCACTACTTCCTTGATCTCCTCTTTCTTAATCAACAACTCTGTCTTCTTCCTCCTCTCAATCCTCATTCCCACCCTCCAATCCTCAACAATCATCTTCCCATTCAGAATCTGATCCCAAAACAAAGGAAACGCCAGCATTGGTACCCCTGAATACATCCCTTCCAAAGTCGAGTTAAACCCGCAATGAGTCCAAAACCCACCCACAGCTGCATGACACAACACACGCAGCTGATCGCACCAGCTCACCACTAAACCAGAGCTACCTTCAAGAGCCTCCTTCATCTTTGACTCGCCCCCACGCGCCACCCAAAGAAACGGAACTCCACTCTCTCTCACTCCTCCCACTATCTCCTTCATCTGAGCCTCCGAGACTGAAAGAAAACTCCCCTGAGATATGTAAAGCACAGAGCTCTCTTCTTGCCCATCAAGCCACCGGATGTAATCAGGTTTGCTACGTTCAGAGAGTTCTTGAAATGGTATTAAAGGACCGGTTGCATAAACCGGGATGTCGAGCTTGGTGGTTAAAACGTCAATGGCTTTAGGCTCGAGCTCATGGGCCGTAGTGAAGAGAAGACACTTAGCTCTGGGAATCTCATCGAAACACAACTTGCACTTCTTGAAGATTTCGAGGCTGTTACTGGTGAATAATGTCGGAATATCCCGCAGTTTGGTCGGAGATAAACCGGGTATGTAATCTACGATCTCCTCTTCTTTTGCTTCTACATTCAAGATAGCTATCAAGTTGTAAAAGATATGTTTTTTTTTCATTGAGTTGTGTTTTCACCAAAAAAAAAAAAAAAGAGTTGTGTGTTACCTGATGGTTCGAACAGAGCATGGTCGTGACTTATGAGTAGATCGGAGTGAAGTATCATGGAGAACATCGTGGCCGACATAGTCCAGAAAGAAACCACCGGAATATTCTTTCGTTCTCCGACACGCACCGCCCATAAAACGTAAGTATCGGCGATAATTAACGTCGGAGTCGGCGAGTTGAGGCTGTCGAGTAAGCGCTCGAACGGATCCTCTAGTCTAGTGAGGACGGCGTCGACGAAGCCGTTGAAGTCGTTGGCACGGACGAGCTCGGAAGGGATGAGATTGGGGAGAGTAGCGAAGTTGATCCGGTCAGGTTTCGGGTCGGAACCGATGAACCCGAGCCATTCTTCGGTGATGACGAGGGTGACGATGAGGTTTGGGTGACGGAGGAGGAGGCGTTTGCAGAGGTTCATCATGGGGTTGATGTGGCCTCTTCCGGGCCAAGGCATTGCCACCACGTGGCAGATTTTGTTTGGTTGTGGTTTGATAGGATCCATTGGGTGAGAACTGAGAAGTAAAGTGATTATGAATAAGTGATCACTTGTGGCCGAGGAGGTGAAGATAGTTTATATGCGACCGTGTGGGACCAGTACTTTAGTTTAGTCATTCGGCATTTAACAATACAAAGTTCGACTTTTCTTTTTTCGATAAGACAGACAATCTTTGGGTTCGACGTTTTCTTCTTTCGATAAGGCAGACAATTTTTTTTGTGTGGAAAAAACGAAGTGAGATGAAGAAGTATTCACCAAAAAAAAAAAAAAAACGTGACTGAGAAGTAAGTGATTATGAATCAGTGATCACTGTAGCCAAGGTCAATACAAAGTTCGACTTTCCTACTTTCTATAAAAGAAAAACAATTCTTTTTGTGTGGGCTAGTTTTACCAACGTGGCAAATACTATGTTTCTAATGTCATTATTACGTATATAGTACAGACAAGGCACTGCACCAGAAAGAAAATAATGGAGGAATCCTATGATTATCATTGGTTACATATACTATTAAGAGTGTGTTACAATATGGGACACATTATTGTCTTTGTAAACACCCAAAAACACATTTCGGGACACTTTTCCTCTCTCTCCCTTATTATGACGAAAATAGCCTTAGTTGGATGATGACGGGAAAAAATTAGAATCGTTGGATGAGAGTCTACACTTTTTCTCTTCTCTATATAAACTAAATATAATTGTTATTACAAACTATATATAAAATTCTTTACATAAAAATATGTGGACATGGATATAATAAATATGTAAAAGCAATGTGGACATGGATGAGATATGATAACAAGAAAAAAAGTTTTATAAATTAACATGTGTGGACATTAGTTTGACACTTTTGTAATCTTTTGATGGATGGGTCTGAACAAAATTGGTGTGGATAGGAAGTGTTTGAACTACATCATCTGTGGACATGCCGTTTTCGTGGATAGCAGGCGTGTGGATAGTGGGGGGAGGGGGTGGACTGTTCAGTATCAAAAAACATAAGTCAATACATTCAACAAGAAAAGAGTTTATGAATGTTATAAAATTCTCGAGATGTTATGATTACCTCACTACTCCCATGAACCCATCATTGAAAAGGAAATGTAGCAGAAACATTAGTAATCCATATTTGAAGAGGGAACGTTAAGGAGCTTCTCATTGGTCAATTTCTATAGTGATAGAACCAACTCCATGGCTGCAGCAAACAAAGAACATTATCATTATTATTTTTCATATCCCAGAAAAAGAGTATCTCTGTTTTCCCTTGCTGATGAAAAGTCACAATTTTTTTAAAACTGTAACAAGTAATTTCAAGTTCTAGAAGGCACATATCTGAAAGGACTGATAATTTATACTTGGAAAATGAGAAAGAGCTTTACCATAGACTGCATCTCCTTTATAAAGGTAATCAAATTCAGTCTGAGGCATCACTATGTGCTCTAGCTTAACCCTCCAACCACGTTTATTCTGCAGACCAAAACTAAAACATTGTTAGAAACTAAACAAAAATGACCAGATTTTATGAATGAAACAAGATGAAACCCATTGGCCAAGAACCTGATATTCCAACATCTTAGTTTTGTTTACGTTCTTCCATACTTGAGCCATTGAGTTTACAAAGCTCACTCATCAACACCACGACTTCCTTCTTACCATCCACCTTCACCACCTCCAATCCTCACATCTTCCACCCCACCTCCACCTCCACCTCCACCTCCATTGTATCCACCATGATCGCCTTCTCTCCAGTAGCTAGCTCCACAACCGATGATCCATTCTCACGTTCTTTATCTTTGTATTCATCATAACCTCTTTCACAACCACTACAATTTCAACTATGGTTTCCACGGCCAGTTAACAAGGTCTCCACTTTTACCACTTCTGTATCTCAAATCCTCATATCTTCTACCCCACCTCCACCTCTATTGTATCCACAACCACCATCTCCTCTCCAGTAGCCACATCCACAACTGATGTATCCACTCTCACGTCTTTCACTTGTGTATCCACGCTCTTGGATTCGAACTCCAAGCTCTAATTCGTCGCGGCATCGCTTCTCTCGATTCGCTCGTTGAGGCCGGTACGGTGATGAGGAACGTCGGATCTAGAGATTGGAGCGGTTACGCACGGCAGAGGAAACAAGCGAGTAGCAAAGAAGCACAGAGTAATATCTATCAAACGACACCAGAGAAATCGACATAGGCGATGAAAATGAAACTCAATTCGCCCACGGCTGTGACATGAATCAACGACGGCGGTGTTGTTTTTTATTAGGTTTGGTCATGATTTTGATTTCTGTTTAATTTAAGGGCATGAAAGTCTTTCACTCACAAGAAAGTGTGTCTCTAACAAGTTGTGCTCCTATATGTAATTTATAAGACAAAAAGTGTTCTAGAATGTAAAATTCTGTACTATTAATGTTTTTCTTGTAACACTTTTTTTTTTTGACATCAACAAAGAACATATTTATATGACTCTGCGAACCAAACCAGTAGTTCTATATCTATGTGAACAACGAAAAAGACTTGTTTTTCGCACTACGTGTTAGGCTGTCTGCCCGTGAATTCAGTGTCCTTGGTACATGAATGATTTCCAAGATGTAGAAACTCCCTTTAAGCGTCTTGATGTTTTCCAGATAATTTGCAAAGGCTGACCATTCGTCTGGTTCCGAAACCATCTTCACCACCTGGGAACAATCTCTTACAAACGTAACATGATATTGACGCAAATTCCGCATACTCTTCATCGCTCAGATAAGAGATTCCACCTCAGAGTGAAGAGGTGAGAGACTGGCTCTAACATTTCTCGCTTCCATTAAACCTACAAACTCTTCAAAGGTACTATACCAACCATGTCCATCAAACAAATCAATATCTTTCCATGAACCATCAATAAAACACCACCGTCTTGATATAGGCGGTAAGGCCGCAACTACCCTTGACTGTGTTTCACTCTGAATTACTTTTATCTGGGCATCCCCCCACAATATGGATTCTGTCTCTGCCAATGCTAGTGTATCCTTCGGATTAATGTCCAGATTACTAAAACTCTTGCTATTCCGCGCTTTCCAAATATACCACAAAATCTATGCGAAAAGATGATCATCCATCTTAGGCATAACCCGCCTAAATAAATGATCCATATTCGTAAACAGAGATCATGTAAGGAAAGTTACTGTGTTCAAATGGATCTTTGACAATGCCCAAACTTGTCGTGCTAGTGGACATTCAAAGAAAATGTGATTAACCGATTCTTCTTCAGCACCGCATCTGTCACAACATATATCACCCTTTATTCCTTGTGCCTGTAAGTTTTTCTTGACCGCAATACAACCCGATAGCAATTGCCATAGGAAATGTTTTATCTTTGAAGGACACCGTACCTTCCAGCAGTAAGCTTTTAAGGCATCCACTGTAGGGCCGTGAATCTCAATCGGCCTTCCTCTATCTGGGTACACCATTTCCACCTGATATCATGACTTAACTGTATATTTTCCGTTCTTAGTGAAATGCCATCCGTCCCTGTCTTCCATTCGTATCCTACTAAGTGAGATAGTTTATATAATCTTCACATCCTGGGGGTCTACTAGAGCTCGAATGACCGGCATATTCCACGTTCGCGTATCACTATTGATAAGGGAATCCACAGTGCGATCCGGGTAAATTTTTTGTTGGTTTGCTGCTCTCGGGAGAGTGGTTGGGAACCATGGATCATTCCATACTAAGATAGAAGATCATGATCCCACCTGTTTAATAAGTCCTTTGTTAACTAGAGATCTAGCTGAGATCATACTCCTCCAGCCATATGACGGAGAATATGATCGTATCGGTTCCAGAGGTGACACATTCCTATAGTATCGACCTTTGAAAAAACGAGAAAACAAAGTATTTGGTTTCTCAATAAGACGCCAAAGTTGTTTACCTAACATTGCCGTGTTGAAATCCTCAAGATCCTTAAATCCCAAACCTCCTTCATCTTTATCTATGCACAATTTATCCCATGATTTCCAATGCATTCCTCTATACATAATTTATCCCATGATTTGCAATGCATCCCTCTTGTAACACATTATTAATGTTGTTTTGATCTATTAATGCGATGTAATTTATAGTAAAAAATGTAATATATATATATATATGTATGTATGTGATGTGTTTATTGTAGAAATGAAATCATTTTATTTAAAAAAAACTGATTGATAAGCTTTTTCTATATGAATTGCAATATGTATTATTAGCATAAATCTAATTTATATTAAGGTAATATTTATAACACGTTTTAACTGTAGAAGTGGATTAAAGATATTAATCAATACTATTAAAGCTGAAGTACAAAGATGAAGTGTTTGGAAACATGAATAAGAAAGTTTTAAAAGTTTGATTGGAAACATGGATATCATACAAATCTAATGGACTTATTTATGAAACTAAAGATTACTGCGACCCAAGGTACCATTATTATTGTTTTTGGGTTTTCTATCATTGATATTACTTTACTTCTGAAAATTATTTATATATATATATGTATTCATGTTTTAAATGTATTTAGAATAAATCAAGAATAATATATATTTTATTTATATAATTTATATTGACTATTGTTATAAGTTTTTAACAGTGATATACTAGCCTTTCAATTCTTCATTAAAAAATTAACTATACAGTGATGAAATACAATGAACATTATACTATTACTTAGTAAAATTGGAATCATTAAATTGTAATTTTGAAATGTTATATATACCATAAAAACAAAGACCCGCCCAGTCGGACGGGTTATGATCTAGTATTTACTTAAATATCAAACAAGTATTAAAAGGACAATATAAGTTGTTGTCCACATCAGAAAAATAATCAACTAATCAGAATATTTCGTTTAGTCACGTCAGCGAGTCATTTCGGTTTGGGTTTTTAAATTTTTTGGGTCTACTAGCTTTTATTTCTTTGGCCCATTCAGCCAACTAAACGGGAAACCCCTAAACAGAGTGAGACAACGAACGACCCCTTGATACTCCGAACTTTGCCTTTTCGACATGCTTCGTTCTCTCTTTTCTTCTCCGCCACGGCCTTATCCGCCTCTAACGCCGCCGTTTCTTTCTTTGTACCCAGACAGAGAAGCCAACAGCAAAGAACCTTCTGCAATTCAGCAGTCGTGGCTGCCTCCTCTGACGCCGTAGTGATGTCAAATCATTTTCCTCCGTCTGTTCTCAAATGGGTTTAACGAAATGGGATTTGCGGTGAGTTACCAGTCGATGATGTTGGTAAAAGAGTCCACCTTTTCGGGTGGGTTGCTCTTCACCGAGTCCATGGAGGTCTCACCTTCCTTAATATTTGAGATCATACCGGCAATGTCCAGGTGGCCTATTTCGATTAAAGTTTAACACTTTGCATTATAACCGTGTGAATGGAACAATAAAATAGTACTTAATTTGATTAGTTAATGGTTTTACTTGTGCTTTTGGTCTGATAAGATTATACGTGAATTGAAAGTGTTCAACTTATTCACCCCTTTCATGTAACGCAATTTTGGATATTTGAGGAATTTAGGTTTTGTTAATGCTTTGAAAGTTTTGTAATTATATGTTTGGACGTTCCAGATGAGTTTCCTGAGGCTCATGGCTTGGTCAATGACATGAGGCTTTAGTACGTTTTTTCGGTGGAAGGCATTGTTTGTACTAAGCCAAGTGAGTTCATCAACAAGAAGATGAAAACTGGAATCCTGGAGTTATGCTTTCTCTTCTCATTCAGCTTGCTATATATTTTGGTCTTAACAAAAGTTGATGAGTTTAGTATGTTGGTTGCATAAGGTAGTTACAGAGCATGTTGAAATATTGAATCCTGTGAGGTCAAAGCTTCCCTTTCCGGTTACTACTTCAGACGAGACAAATGATTCAATTAAAGAAGACATTCGCTAAAGGTGAAATATTAGATGTACTATTGATCTTTCATGGTTTGTCTTTTTGTATTGACACTGATGGTATGGCTTTTGTTTGTCTGATGTTAGATTCCGATGTCTTGATCTACGCCGTCAGCAAATGAAGAATAATATTATTTTTTTGCCATAACTTGGTGAAGCTGATTAGGAGGTATCTAGAAAAAATCACGGGTTTATTGAGGTATTACCTTCTCTATTTGAAATAGGCGCAGAAAATTTCGTTCTTAACCAGTTTTTTTCATCTTGGTTTGTTGTTTGTGTTAGAATGAAACTCCAATACTCTCTAGATCAACTTCGAAAGGCGCATGAGATTATTTGGTCCCCTCAAGAATTCAAGGGCATTTAATCTTGATTTATTTCTCAGTTTAACTCTACACAAAAGCATCAATTTTCCACCATTGACAAACCCTTGATGTTTACACTAATTCCTTGGTGGAGTGGTGATGAGAACCCTGGTGATGACATGGCAAGAGTTGGACCTGTTATACCCCACCAATGTTTGTGTTGGATAATGGTTTAATCTAATCTTATATATTATGTTTCATTCGATTTAGTATATTCAGAATTGTTTGCCCATGATATTGTTTGGATCCAGACTTAAATATTTAGGTTTCATTGCGGGGTTTATAAGATATAAAACACTGAGTTAAATTGTTTTCTCTTGCAGATGATGTTGGCCACATCAAACTTGTGAATGGGTAGGTTCTCAGTGTCAGTCTTCTGCTTGATAAAGCGGAGATAGCTTCAATCCGCCTAGTTTTGCTTCATGTTCAGATACATGAGTAAGCTATTTTATATCTTCTTCCATATTCATATATGGTTTCTTTTACCACATGTGTTTTGGTTGTTACAGCAGTTCGGTGATGAAGCTATACCTATGGGACAAGGCTGCCTCTGACTTCAGTGAAAAGTTTAAAGCATCTGGAAACACTGCAAGTGTTATCTTAGTGACCGTCTTAAACCCGAAACGGTTTGGAGGTTTTTATTACCAACTTTTGTTTACTTTTATACATACTAGTTGCATATTCCCCGCGCAAGCGCGGGGCCGGGATCATTATGTTTGCGTGTATTTTTTTCCATCATGATATATGGTTTTTTGTAAGTTTGAGTTTTGTTCATAAATGATGTGGCATTTTTATCTACGGCGTCATCGACTGTGGGAATCCATTCGTCGGAGTCTGGAATCGGTGGTGAGGAATGTTTTCAAGGAAATTATAGTAGTTATTAAAACGTAAGAGAAATTATATATTCATTTAATAATAACGAAAATAATTAATTTTTGT